ACAAGATGCAGACATTAAAGGAATAATTTAACAAGAACAGTTAACAGAAATTAATGAACTTGAGATAAAAATACAAAGACTCAATGAAATCCAAGATCTGGGGGTTTTGTGGGGGTTTTTGTTTGTTTGTTTGTTTTGCCGAACCAGGGATTGAAATCAGGCCAGGGAAGCACTTATTCTACTGAGCCATCTCCCCAGCCCTCTGCTTCTCTAAAGGAATAAACAAAGTGGGCAAACCCTTAGCCCAAGAAAAGTAAGAAAAGATCCAAATGAATACAACTAGAAATGAAAAAGATAGGCTGAAGAGATAGCTCAGTGGCATAAGCACCTGCCTGGCAAACTCAAGGTCCTGAGTTCAATCCCCAATTTTTTTAAAAAAAAAAAGATATAAAAGGTGAAATGATGAACATCACTGAGACCCAGAAAAATATTAATTACTTCAAAAAAAATCTGTATAACAATGAGTTAGGGGGCTGGTGAGATGGCTCAGTGGTCTAAAGCACCTACTTAGAACAAGCTTAACAAAGCACAGGGACCGCGGTTCAATCCCCCAGCACCACATGCCAGCCAGCCCTGCCCCCTGGTGGGCTGAGCTGGCCACACACACACACACATAAATAAATAAAATTAAAAAAAAAAAAACAATGAGTTAGAGAATTCAGAATAAATTAGTAGGTTCCTAGATATATATGGGTTACCAAAACTGAGCCAAGAACATATTTTTTAAAACTTACTAACACAATAACAGGTAGTGAAATTGAAGCAATAATTAAAAGTCTTCCAACCAGGAAAAGCCCAAAACCCAATACAGTGAAGATCGAACATTATTCCTCAAATTCTTTAATGAAACTAAAATGTAATGAGTACTAGCAAAGTTATTCTTGGAAGCTAGAATGACCTTAATTCAAAACCAGGCAAGGACTCAAGGAAAAAGAGAAGTACAGGCAATGTCTTTAATGAATTTTGACCCTAAAATTCTCAACAAGATCCTGGCAAACAAAATGCAAAAAATCATGAAAAAGATCATACACTGTGACCAAGTAGGCTCCATCTCAAGGATTTGGGAATGGTTCAACACACATAAATCAAAAAGTGTAATACATCACATAAAAAGAATCAAGGACAAAAAACATATGATCATTTCAATAGATGCAGAAAAGCCTTTGATAAAATCCAATATATACTTATGACAAAAACGCTAAAGATGGGCTGGTGAGATGGCTCAGTGGTCTAAAGCACCTACTTAGAACAAGCTTAGCAAAAACAAAGGGACCGCGGTTCAATCCCCAGCACCAC